ATCCAACCGGCAGAAGGAGTACAAATGCGGGGACCTGGTGTTCGCCAAGATGAAGGGTTACCCACACTGGCCAGCCCGGGTGAGTAGCGCGACCCGCCGCCGCCTGTCCTCATCAAGCTTGGGTTGCATAACACCCGCGCGGACCTTTGCGCTCCGCGCTAGTCGGGGCGAGGACAGGGGGCGTCAGGGTCCCAGACTCTCCGGGTCGCTTCAAGCCCACCCGCTGGTTATATAACCGTGGAGGCGGGGGTTGGGGGGGCAACACCTGGCGGGCGCGGCGTCCGCGCGTACCGGCGTGTGCGCAGCGTGGGGCTCCCAGGGCGCGGGTCACTTCCCGGCCCCGCTCCGCGTGTTCAGTTCCGCCCCCAGCCCCCATGCTCACGTTTTGGGCGCGCAGCCTGGGTTTGGGCCAGTCTTGTGAACTCCTCCCACCCATCCCCTGGTCCCACTCTGTGACCCCCCCCCCAGAGACCCCCAATTACTCCATTAATTATTGCGTCTTCTCTCTTTGGATTAAATGGTTAGGGAGGAACACAACCCAGAGAAGGCTGGATGGAAGCGGAGTTCACTACTAGAAAACTTTGGGGCGTCTGTAAGAGGACTGGAGTTGGAAGGATTGAGGAATAATAGTTGGAGGTGGCATGAGAGGGGGATGTACCTGGCTTGGAAGTTTTATTAGCTCCGCAAAAACATTCTTTTATATGCTACTAGTTCGAATTGAGACTATTTGAGTTGAAAAATGGTGGTTGGGAACCCTTTTTAGACCGTTTGCTTTTCAAGAGGTGGGGAGGGTGCGCGAGTTGCTTTCCTTCCCCTCCCCCAGATAAGAACATCTCCCGCCAGAACGTCCCAGGCTGCCATGTGGCTGATCGGCCCGCCAATATGGGGGCCAGGGCCCCCGCCTTTCCCGCACCTGGCCAGGTGGGAGGGTGGAGCCCAGAAGCCAGGTCTGGTGTGTTCATTGTTTCCCTAAGGACTGGGGCAGGTTAAGTAAGAAGGATCGTTGACTGGCCAGTTGGCAGAAGAGACTAGGGGGTGTTTCTTGTCTGTGACTGCTTTCTTCAAAGTTCATGTAGAGCGGCCTGTTGAATTGAGTATGAGCATGACTCAGTCTCCTTAGTGAAATCTTAGGGCAGAAAGGTGTGAGGGAGGGGATGTTTTGGGGAAGGGGGTCAAGTACAGGAGTTTTAAGGACTTTTGAGTTGCTTCTTTCAGAGTTAGCCTGTCAAATTATCTTGTCAGAACTGAGTTTAGAAAGTTGTTCCAGGCTCCGCTGGGTTCAGGTTGAGTTGAGGGTGTCAAGGACTACTAATTTAGGAGTTTCTTCTCAGTACCATCTCTTGAGGAGTGTGCCCCAGCTTCCACACCTTGAATTCCTTGTTCCTTGAAACTTTTAGTTGCCCAAAGTAAGGCCCGGCCTCTGGAATATTGAGTGAAGTGGACTCCCTACTTTCAAGGTTGCCTTAGGGAGCTGGGGCCTGCCTTGTGTCTACATGGATTCAAATGGTGTGTAAAAACATGTGTACTTTACCTTGAACTTTTGATCCAACTGACTTCTTGGCCTAGATGCCAAGGCCCTGGTGGGCAGGGCAAGAAGAACTGAACCCAGATCTCTATGGCCTCTGCCTCCTGGGGGTTAGGCAAAGTCCAGAGGCTGGCTTAAACCCCGGGGAGGGAGTCATTATTTGAGATATGACTGCAGGGAACCCCTTCTAGATCAAGAAAAAGAGAAAAGTAGAGAGTCAGAAGGTGGCCTACATTAACCCCAGTGAACAAGATCCTTAGGTTTCTGCGGTGCTTTGGAGTGAGGACAGTGTCTGGGCTGGGAATAACATGTATTTCTTTTCTTGCCTCCAAGACAGAGTGTGGGACAGGGAGGCAGTTTCTTCCCCTGTTGAGGCCTGAACCTTTCAGATAAAGTCAGGATTAAGGGAGGGATCCAAATGGATTCCAAAGAGATAGGACCCCACCCTTTGTCCTCAGACTCTTGATTGTGACATTTTCAGGGAGGGGCATCCTTAGGGCTGTTCAGCTTCCTCTCCTTGAGCCCCAAAAGAGACCATCCCTGGGACTTTGCTCATTCCTAGAGCAGCGGAGTCCGAGGGATCTGATCCCTCCTGCAATGGATGACAATCAAGAGAGAGTCTTGCTGAATGTTCCATGTACTAAGCAGGCCAAAATCCTCAGCAATGCTAAAAACCACTCTGGATCTACTCTTCCTCAGTCCCCTCCTGCTAAGGGGCAGATGAGTCACTCATTGAAACATGAATGGCCCAGTGCTTAACACTACCAAAGGGGCCACATGGTAGGTAGGACCTGCATGGGGAGATCTTCTGTCTTAACCAGCTCTTTTCCTTCTTCCCCTGGCTTAATTTCCTGGGAGATCTCCAAGCACTTAATAGTTAACCTCCAAGACTCAAGGATTTCACCTCCCCCTGCCAGGTTCCTTCCTTTTTTCCCCCCCTCTACTTCCTGTTTCACAATCCCAGAAAACCTGAGCAACAAAAGGGCCTTACCCTTCTTTCTGCTCACCCCCTCCAATCCCTCCCCCACATCCAGGCACCACCTCCCTCCTGCCTCTCAGGCTTGCCACACTTTCCCGTCCCCAACTGTCTCCTGCCCCAGATTTTCCTGTTCCTAGGTCAGGTTAGGCCTCAGTTTTGGGTGTGGTGGTCAGAGCCCTGGCTGGCAGCCAGTGTGGGTTTAGACTTCTCCAGGTCTTCCTAAGTGCTGGGCAAGTGTGATCTTGGGCCTGTGTTTGGTTTGAGGTGTTCTGTGTTGGTCAGTGTTTGGGAGAGAGATGTTTAGGTCATTCTCAACTCTTCACCTGGAAACTACAGATTCATCTCAGACCTCAAAGAGTGTCTGTGGACTCTTGGAAGTTGGGAGTTTATGTGCTCAAGCCTGTAAAATGGGGCCAGGCAAACTCAGAGGGCCTGGAGTGAGGGTGGGGTGAATAGGCCCAGACCTGAGTAGAGAACTTCCCTGAACCCCTGGAATGATTGTGGGGTCTAAACGCATCCTCCTGGTAGGGATGGAATGGGGTCCCTAGCACTCATCTGGCCCCACCCTGGCCCACTTAGCTTTGACTCACTCATTCTGAGTCACAACCTGAATGTATGTAAAGGTACCATCTGGGAGACATACATTTTATCAGGGGTACAGGAGATCCCTGGGACCTCATATTCTCCATTCTTCCAAATGCAAGAAAAGATATTTTCTTTGTAGTTTGAGCATTGGAGATTCCACTACAGAAGAGATTTCTTCCCCCACCCCTTTTTGGGTGAGAGGTTGGAATTCCATTAAGTAAAAAGAATTCGCCTCTCCTGACTCTACCCGATAAGGTGCCTAAATCCAAAGTGAGGCAAGTGGATGGAATAGCTCTTTTGGGACACTTGCCCATAAGCCCAGGCTCTTACCCTCTTCCTTCTATAAACAATCCTTTAGTTGGCTAGAAGTCAGTAAGACATGTGTATCTTTCCATATATTTTCAATTTCCACCAATTATTTCATTTCTTCCCCTCGTGCTGGGTAGTTTAGTGGCCTTGGGTTCCCTGCCACGCTGTATTTCGCCCTCTTCTCCGGGCCTACTTTCCATGGGAAACCAGGGCTGAACGAGCCAGATGGTCGATAGCTGCTTTGCTGTTAACTGTGCCTTCAGAGAACCTCGCGTCTCTTCATCTCTGGTGCCTTATCCACCCCACCCCCTTTTGCAGAGCCTCAGTTTCTCTTCTTTCATCACGCGTTTACTTTTGAAGCCTATTAAGTCCCTAGGTCAGCTCTGGGTACTGAAAATGCGGAGATCAAAGTTCCCTGCTGCTCTCTCAGCCTCAGACGCTTAGATCCCTCCACACCCCGCCCCCTCCCTTAGTTCCTGGTGCTGGGAGATCCAACCAAGTAGAGAGGCCTAGGGAAGGGCTTTTGCTATTATTGTCCTTTGCCTGTCTCCTGGGATCTCTAAGCCCTGGAGGCTCTCTCCTTTTTTTTTCTTCCCCCTCTGAAAAGGGGGTGGGGAGCTGGCTGGTAACAGGACCCAGGTGCCCTGGCTGAGGACTAGCCCCTCCACCCACCCTAAGTCTAGTTTTCTGAGCAGGTCCTCCAGCCCTTCTGCGGTTTCAAGCACAGCTTAGGGACCCAGGTGCCAGACTCCACACTTTGGGGGTAGGGTGTGTGTTAGTGTCCCCTCCTCCTCAATCCAGAGGAAGGGCCTAGGGGGGAAGGGTAGTCACATTCCTGGTTGCTGAGTGGCCCCAGGGGCGGGGTTGGGTTGTCATGGTGATGGGGATCGTGTTTGGGGGGGGGATCAGCATGCCTTTCCACCCCCTACACTCACACCCTAACGCTTCTTGCTCATTGGAAGGTCCCAATTTGTGCCCGGCCTTTCTTGGGGGAAGGGCTGTACCACTGCCCCCAGAGGCCACAGGACAAGGAGGGGGAAGAGTCCAGAAGCCCAAAGTTTCCATGTACTGGGCAAGATGTCCCTCACAGTTCTTGCCCACAGCCCCTCACCCCCTCTCCTGGGTGTGTCTCAACTCATTCACCCTATCCCCTAGGCCTGTAGACAGGCACTCTGTCCCTGTCTCTGCTAATCACTGCCTTGGGCGGGCTGCCTCTCTCAGTCTCTGCCTGGGCCCCCCAGTCAACATGGCCACCTGGCCTCTGTCCGGCGGGAAGCTAAGCCAGCTAGGCCTGTTTGCTGCAAGTGTTGCTGGGAGTTGTAGTTTTTCCCCTCTTGCAGTTCGGCTTGTCCAGGACTAAAAACTACTTGGTCCATTGCTGTGGCTCCCTCCATTTTCCTGACCTTTGATCTCTACCTCTCACCTCCATATCACAGGACCCCAGCACAGTGTGTTAGGGATCGAGCCAGGAGATACAAATCTGAGACTTGACCTTCATCTTTCCTCTCTTATGTAGGGGAAAGCACTTTTCTTTTCTGGGCCTCAGTTTCCTCATCCTAAAACTGCAAAGAGTTTGACTACAACTGTGGCTTTCAAGGTGTCCGCCCCACCTCCCCCAAACCTTTTCTGTCTTCTGTTAGGGGAAGGGTCGTAAAAAGGCAGAATCTTGGCTTTATCCCTCTGGTTGAAGCAGTCTACATTTATCTATTTCGTAGATACATTGAGCTAATATTTACCGTGCAGCTGTTGTGTACTAGGCACTGTATTGGGGATAAAAACAGACTTGGACTCTGATCTTAGGGTGGGTATACCCCAGATAAACATTAATCAAATGATAATGTAAATAAATGTAAGAGTGGAGTTGTGGGGAGCTCTGGTGGCCTAGTGGTAAGGAGCTGCAACTACAATCCCAGAGGTGCACGGTTCGAATTCACCAGATGCTCTGCCAGGGAAGGAGGGACAATCTCCTCCTGTACCAGTCAGATCTGATTTGATGGTACACACACACACACACACAAATAAAATTAAAAAAAAAAAAGAGTGGAGTTGTGAAGTGCTCTGAAGGGAGAAGAGAAGGGAATGCTGGTGGCCAGGAAGACTCCTGGGTAGGGGTAGGGAGTTGTACTGCTGAGCACCTCTTTGCCATTTCAAATCCACCAGCAGCATTGAGGGAGAAAGATGGGATGTGAATTACAGTCTCTGAAAACCTGCTGGTGGGTCATCTATGAGTCAGTTCCCAGGCAATGAATTTGAGGTTTGAATTAATGGAGAGGTAGAAGGGAGAGCTTTGTCTAGAGAACGGGTGGGTTGAAAGAGAGGGGAAGGCTTTTTTATAGGTAGTAATGATGGCGTTGGGGTTGGAAGGGTTATCAGGCTCTAGAAGGAGTTAGTAAGTATGAGAGAAGGAAAGATAGCAGACAGCATGATTAGGAATAAAAGAGGTTGACTTATACCTGTGTAGGATTTACTGTATGCCACACTATAGCAATTTAATTCTCCCAATCAGGACTATGACTTAGACCTGTGGTTATCTCTGTCTTGCAAATAGAAGTCAGAGAAAGGTTAAGTATGTTACCCAGTCAAACAAATATTGATGACTTTGTTGGTATTCAGATCCTGATATTGTAAAATTTAGGTGGGTCCTAGGACCATTAAAAGCTTCAACCAGGAACACTCTACCTCCAGTGTGGACAATATGGGGCACGGATGGAGACTGAAAGACAGGTAGAGGCTGTGTCCTTAGGCCAAGCTAGAGATGACTTGCGTTATGGCAAAGACACAAAGACATGGATCTTTAGGGAAAACTTGGATAGATTTGGGAAGCATAAAGATGCTGTTTGTTTTTGTTTTTTTTTAAGGAGATGGGCTAACTCCTGCATATTACTTGGTCTTATGTTTTACTTCATTTGAACAGATTTTAGTGCTAAAAATACTCAACAAGTCACTCTGGTAATCTTCTGGGTCTTTCTCAGTATTTTGTACAAATATGCCTTAGAGGTGAGCCCTTTGTCCCAAATCCATAGCCCTAGGACTCCATTCTCAGCTTCCCTCATTTTACTCCAGATTGACGAGATGCCTGAAGCTGCGGTGAAATCAACAGCCAACAAATATCAAGTCTTTTTTTTTGGGACCCATGAGACGTGAGTGAGGGGCCAGAGGGGGCATAGGTGGGAGAACTGTGGCATGATCACTTTGAGAGAGAGGTGGCATTGGTGTCTCTCCCCTGTGGGTCAGTGCTAGGGAAGAGGCCCCCACCCAGCGGTATTGAGGGGCTAGAGAGCCATTTCCCATCTTTCGCCAGAGCATTCCTGGGCCCCAAAGACCTCTTCCCTTATGAAGAGTCCAAGGAGAAGTTTGGCAAGCCCAACAAGAGGAAAGGGTTCAGCGAGGGCCTATGGGAGATCGAGAACAACCCTACTGTCAAGGCCTCTGGTTATCAGGTGAGTTTCCATGTGCCTCAGAGACCCCCTGGAAAACAGGTGTGGCCATAATGGGCTCTGGGAGCCTAAGACCCACAGAGGATGCAATCTTCAGGGACCAAGGCTCAAATACAGGGCTTTTGGGATAGAAGCCCATGTGGGATGTCTTCCTGAAAGAGAGGGTGGGGAAAGTTGCGGATATGTGGTGTAGTTGTGCTTATGGGCAACTGTTAGCTTTGGGGGGCAAGAATAGGATGGAGGCGGTAAGTGGGATCAGGCCTTTTCTTGGGCCTAGTGTAAGTACATGGCCTTGACTTTCCACAAAGGCTTTCAGGAGGAAGTGCTTGAGCCGGGCAGGACAAGGCGGGAGGGTGGGGGGCGGGGGTTGGCGGGGATAAGGGTCCCAGCTCCCTTTGGGAGAAGTTGACCCGAGGTTTTGCCTCCTGCTCCAGCCCTCCCCCCTCCTGCACAGAGCCCTGCCTGCCCGGCCAGTGGGTTTGCCCCGGGGCTAATCCAACAGAGGTGGGTCTCAAATCACTTGTGAGACTGGGCACCTGGGCGGGGGTGGGGGAGAGGTGGGACAAAGAAGGAGTGAGTGGCTGAGGGTGGGGCCTTGGGTGGGGGCCTAGCACGACACCAGTAGTACCACTCAGCCCCTTCTGCCTCTGCCACAGTCCTCCCAGAAAAAGAGCCGTGTGGAAGCGCCTGAACCAGAGCCCGAGGCTACAGAGGGTGATGGTGACAAGAAGGGGAATGCTGAGGGCAGCAGTGATGAGGAAGGGAAGCTGGTCATTGATGAGCCAACCAAGGAGAAGAATGAGAAGGGGGCACTGAAGAGGAGAGCAGGAGACCTGCTGGAGGTAACTGCCCCTGGGACCCTCTTGAACATTTTCTGTGAGAAAGTTCTGCCATCAGTCTGAGAAGGGAGACAGCTACTTCCCCAGTCTGAGAGACACAGCCCCAAATCTTGGGAATTCCCTGTCTGAAGAAGACATTTCAGCTAGTAGAAGGCTATGGAGGGATTATGGATATTATCTCAGGAGTGGGAGGCACAGGCTGGCATCCGCCCTTTTTTTCTAGCCTCGACCAACCTTGTTTCTGCCAATTCTGCTTAGGACTCGCCAAAACGTCCCAAGGAGGCTGAGGACCCCGAAGGAGAAGAGAAGGAGGTGACCACCTTAGAGGGTGAGAGACCTCTCCCTGTAGAGGTGGAGAAAAATAGCAACCCCCCTGAGCCTGGCTCTGGCCGGGGTCCTCCTCAGGAGGAGGAAGAAGAAGAGGAGGAAGAAGAGGCTGCCAAGGAAGATGCTGAGGCCCCAGGCATCAGAGATCATGAGAGGTGAGTGAGCCTCTTGCTTTCTTGGCACATAGGTTGGGATGACCCAGGCACCTTCAGAAAAGAGGAGCAGAAGGGCCTGTAGGGGTCCACCTCAGGGGAGGTAGGGTAGGGTTTCCCAGGAGACTGGCACTGGCTCGGCCAAAGTCAGGCCAAGGCTACATAACTAACCCTTCTCCCCTCTAACCCTGTCTTACAGCCTGTAGCCACCAATGTTTCAAGAGGAGCCCCTGCCCCGTTCCTGCTGCTGTCTGGGTGCTACTGGGGAAACTGGCCATGGCCTGCAAACTGGGAATCCCTTCCCCACCGCATCCCATTCTCCTCTTCCACTCACTCTCCCCCCTCCAAGTATGGCCCCTGGAGATTGACTTGGATGGGACAGGTCACCTGGCCCCCACCTCCATTTCCCATACCCCAGTGACCTGAGTCAGTGCTATGCCCTTTACTCCCTGAGACAAGGCCATATTCCCTGCCTGCCTAGAACTGTTTCCCAGGATTTGGCCTGGACCAGCTTTTCCCACCTCTTGACACCCCTTTCCCTCCCTTACCCACAGGCATTCTGAAATTCTGGGTTGTGATCAGGAGTAGCGGGCTGGAGGATAACAGGGTGGACTTGGGAGGGCCTGGCTAGGGAAACCTCCATTTATTGTAGGGGTGTGGAGGGCAGGACAGTGGCATCTCCTGAGCTGCTGTCTCCATACCTGTCATCCAGCTGAATAGATTCAGGGAAAAGTGGGACAGTATACAGAGGATAGGCTCCCTTCCAATGGAAATGCTCGATTTTTCCTGTTGCTGACCCAGGAGAGTTGTAGTTTATCATCAAAAGATTTGGGGGCACTCAAGTTGTTTGGGCCAAGAACCTGAGATCAGAGAAAAGGGATATCTTGGGGAAAATGAAGCTGCCCTGTTCCTTCTACCCATAAGCACTCAAGGCCAGCCTACAGTCATATAAATTACCCAGATATTAAAAAAAAAAAAACACACACGCATTTTTTAGGAAAAGGTTTTAAAAAAAAAAAAATTAAAAAAAAATTTTAAAGACTCCCCCCAACCCCTTGTGTCCCCCTCTACTCAGCTCCTAGTTCCCCTACCATTTCTAAGGTTCACTGGGAGGCTCCCCATCTTTTGGGGGCTTAATGACTTTTCTAGCTGGGGCTTTGGTATTCCTTCCAGTGTCATTTCCCATCCACATACCTGCCTGGTCCCCTCAGTGTTGTCAACAGATAAAATTTGTAACCGATTCTGAGAGGACAGAGGGAAATAAGAGCCCTCTCCCAACCTCTTCCTAGTTGTCTCTATGCCTCTCTTCTGTCTCTTGTCTTTCACTCTTGCCCCTTTTCTCCCTTGGGCTCTGATGAAAAATTGCTGACTGTAGCTTTGGAAAAAGTTTAGCTCTGAGACAGTAGACAATTTCAGTTCTAGGAAAATAAAGCCCATTGATTACTATATTGGATTCTGACTGGTTATTTGTGGGAGGGGAATACAAATTATTTTTTAATAATTTCAGACTGAAGTAGGAGGTGCTAGTATCATTCTTTGAAATAAAAATTTGTGAAGGTAGAGTTCCAGAATATGCTGCTGCCTCCTTCTGTTTAACCCTAGTTCCTCAGTGAGCACCAAGGTTTGGGATGGGGGGTCAGGGGGCGGAGGTCACAAGAAAGGTGTGTGTGTGTGTGCCAGGATAATCAGCATCCTGTGATAGGCATAGATATAGGTCAAGTTTGAGCTGGTGGTATTTTGACCCAAGAGCATATCTAAAAATGTTCACCACACCTGGTAGTGTGGAGGACTATGGTAGGGTAGATCCCTTCAGTGTTCCTTTAATTCTACAGTTGAAATGGAACTGACTCATAGCGGGCCCTCCAATTTTTCTTTTATACTGGTTTACTTACAAAGTTCATATACATTGTTTTTCACACTGGATCTTTCCCATTTCCTTTACCCAGCCTTCCTTCCACCCGTCACATTGTTTGACCCTATAATTAACCCCACTGCCCAACCCAACCTTACCCCTCTATACCCCCTCCCTCCTTAGATCCACATACATGTTTTACTAGTTATCTTTTTTTTACTAGTTACCTTTCTATAATAGTGGTCTTAAACACTATTTGTCCTTATGAGACTGAGTTAGTTCACTAGTCCCTCCCAAGGTAGGTAGTGATTTTAAAAATCATTGCTTCTCTGTGCTGTGCAGTATTTCCATCATGTGAATGTTCCTTTTTTTTTTTATTTTAATGAAAGTTTAGAGACTTGGAGTTTCCAATCATTCATTGTTGCACTTTTCTCCCTGTCCACCCCTTTCCCCCACAATTCACTCTTGAAAGGTAAAAAATTTATCATTGTTAATGCAATCCCTCCCCCCAAGTCCACTCCATTCTGCAGCCTTCATTCTGGATTCCTGTCATGCCAGTAATACCCAGTCATAAATCCCTTTTAAACCATTCTCTCTCTAATCTGTTTCAAAGCGGTATACATCATTACTCCCCTCCTTCTCTGTCTTTCCTCAACCTTGATGTCAGTCCCATTTTACAACAGTGGCCCTATGCAATATTTGTCCTTTTGTGACTGAGATGCTTCACTTAGCATAATGTCCTCTGGGGTCATCCATTTTGCATAATATTGCATGAGTTCCTTGTTTTTCAGTGCTGCATAGTATTCCATTGTGTCACTATACCAGAGCTTCTCCATTCGTTTGTTGATGGACACTTGGGTTGTTTCCAACTCTCTGCTATTGTGAACAAAGCCGCAACATGGGTGTGTATATATTTGCTTGGGTGGTGGTTATTTTTTCTTTAGGGTAAATTCCCAGTAGTGGAATTGCTAGGTTAAATAGTATTTCTATTTGCAACTTTGAGAGAGTGCCATACAGCCTTCCATAGTGTTTGCACCATTTTACATCCCACCAACAGTGAATAAAGGTTCCAGTTTCTCCACAACCTCACCAGCATTTGATGTTTGCTGTTCTGTTAAATTTTGGTATTCTACTGGGGTGAGATGCTATCTCATAGTTGTTTTGTTCCTTAATTTCTTAATCCATTCGATTGTGGTTGGATATTTGGGCTAGTAACATGTTCTTGTGATGGTGAATAACACTGCTATGAACACTGTTGTACAAATTTCCATTTGTGCCTCAGTTCTAATTTTCTCGGGGTATATTCCATGCAGTGGAATAGTTGCATCTTATGCAATACTTACGTTCAGCTTTCTGAGGAAATGCCAAACTGCCTTCCTGAGTGGTTTTACCATTTTACAATCCCAACAACAATATATGAGTTCCTATCTCACCACATCCTCTCCAACATTTATTACTTGCTGTCCTGTTAAACTTTGCCAGTGCTACTCAGATGAGGGGAAAAAACATTTGGCAACCGCATCTCAGACAAGGGTTTCTTTCATATCAAAAGTTTACAGAATCTGCCCAAAGTCTATGTGACAGAACTTAAAAATCCTAGCCTCTGAGGTGAAACTTGCCCGCTCCAAGACAGAGAAAAAAAAAAAGTTTACAGAATCCTACAGGGCCTTCACAAGACTGTTAACAAAATTACAAAATGGGCAAAAGACAAAATATCACAGAAGATGATATTCAGATGGCCCTTAGACACATGGAAGAAATGCTCAGTATCACTGCCAATAAGGGAGATGCAATTTCTTTAATTCTGCGTCTTCCACTAATTACTAATGTAATATTGAATGAGATGATCCTTAGTGTGCCTCCAAAACCTGACATTTTGTGACTAACGTGCTTAGAAGAGCCCACTTTCATCCCTTACTCTGGAATTATTCTGAAATTATTCTTAAATTTTTGAATCTGTTCTGACCCCTGCCACCAAAGATGAGCGGGCACATAGTGGCAGTAGTCTTGGCTGCAAAAGAACGCCTTATTCTTGAACAGGAAAACCATGGTCACCTAGAAAATGGAGTCACTATCAGGAACTACAACCCCCAGGCGCCCTCACGCGGAGCATGCGCAGAAGTGTGCCGGGGCGGCCGACTTCAACTCCCGGTGTGCTTCACCTTGTGATTAAGGCTTCCTTGCCTTCGCACCGCGCTTATATTTCCTGTTTGCGGCATGTTTCGTAGCGGCGGACTACATCTCCCAGTACACAGTGAAATGCGATTAAGAGTGAAACTTCCGCTCTGCTATTCGCCTACATTTCCCAGGAAGCCGAGGGACAGGTGGGCGGAGCTCAGGTCCCACGTGCTGTGACAAGCTGTGGCTCTGCGACGCGGCTGGAAGCGGAGGTTAGGGCTGCGCGGCCGGAAAGTGATCGTAGCCCAGGGACTAGTTTGGGAAGCGGGTACCAGAAAGCCCTTTATTTTCCCTGACTGTAGCTCAGCTGCCTTCCTGGGTGTCTTCCCCGAAGCTTGAATCGAATGGGTGCCGAAGATTGATGGGGCCTGGAGGTGTCTGGGATGGGGTCTGCGCCCAGGCTGGGGCGGGCGGGCGCATTGTTTGGAGCCGGGACCCGAGGTGAAAGGCGCACGGCCTTGCATGACGCCTCTGGAGACTAACACAAAAGCCTCAGGTGTGGAAGGCGTCTCAGCTGCTGCTCCAGATTGTGCAGAAAAAGGTTAAGATCTGTGGGTGCGTGTATGGTGCTCTGCTTTGGGTCAACTTCCGGAAGTTCCTTCTGGAGAACATTAGACCTAAAATCGCAGAAATTAAAGAGTGTGGCAGCAATCATGCGGGAAACTGGGCGAAGGCCCTGCTTGGCCCTCCTGCTGTCAAGCTGTAAGACCTTCAGCTCTCAGAGCCTCTGGTTTCATTATCTGTAAAAACGACCTTGTAATAGCAGTTTTTGACAGCCTCTCTCTGGACACTCTGAAAATCAAATGTCAGTAATCATGAAAACCCCAGCAATGGATGTCATATAGTGTTCTCAATAATGGTGGGAAAATGACCTTTACCGTCAACAAGCAATTCAAAATTACATTAGGATGTATATGTATGTGTGTGTGTGTGTGTGTGTGTGTGTATGTATATACATACATATATATGTATATATACACACACATATATCTTAATTTATATTTTGCCTTTATGTAGATATATATCCTAATGTTATATTTTGCATATATATTGTTAGGTGCCATCAGGTGGACTACAAGTCTGTGAAACAAGGTTTCTGAACCCTGCGCTATCCTGCGCCATCATTACAATCTCTGATATGCTCAAGTCTTTTGTTATTGGCACTGTGTTAATCCATCTCATTGAGGGTCTTCCTCTTTTTCTCAGACCCTCCCATTTTCCTGCATGATTTCTTTTTCTAAAGACTGGCCTTTCCTGACAACTTGTCTAAAGTATGAGACTAAGTTTCAGCATCCTTGCTTCTAAACAGCATCCTAATTATACTTCAAGACAAACTTGTTCTTTAGGCAGTTCATGGATATTCAGCACTGTTCTCCATCACCACAACGCAAAGACATTGATTCTTCTATCATCCTTATTCATTTTCCAATCTTCAGATTAATTTTTATTCCTTGTTAGGAATTACTTCAAAGTAATTGCAAAAAATATGACTTGGATCAGGAGCACCTTAGTCTTAAAATTGACATTCTTGTTCTTTAGCACTTTGGAGTGGTCCCTGACAACAGATTTCCCCAATACAGCCCATCTTTTATTGCTTGACTGTTACCACAGTTGATTGTGGATTCAAGTAAAATTAAATCATTGACAACTTTAATCTTTATCTATAATAATGTTGCCTATTGGTCCAGTGTTGAGGATTTTTATTCTCTTGATGTTCCACAAAATATAATGTATATACAAATATATACATTGTATATGTATTTTATATAAAATGTACTTAAGGTATACACACAACATCCACATATGTAATGAAATCTGTGAGAGCTGAAACCCAACATGGCTTGTCTTGACAGTTCACAGACATTTTCTGCCTTTGACAGGGTGCAGTCTTACGGCTTTTCTATTGCTCTTTTTTTTTTTTAATTTATTATTTTGTGTGTGTGTGTACCGTCAAATTGGATCTGACCGGTACAGGAGGAGACTGCCCTTCCTTCTCCAGCAGAGCATCTGGTGGATTTGATCCACACACCTCTGGGATTACAGTGCCACTAGCCACCAGAGCTCCCTCTATTGCTCATTTTATTGGGGAGTATTTTACTTTTCTTCTTTGAAAGGTTCCTGTCTTAAACAAGTTTTATGTAGATTTTGTGTTGCTTTCCCTCATTACTCCATCAACTAGGAACTACATCATACTGAACCTTCAGCAGATGTGCCCATCTCTCAGAGCTACCAGTAGATTTAATGCAGGGCATTTGCGTTAGCACTGTAACCCCCTACAGACTAGCCCATCAAAGATCCCTTGCTTTGATAATATTTCAGAATAGTTTGAACGACACCAACAAGCCTGTAAAGTTTTACAAAGGATGAAAATGAAGCCCAGAAGTTATGCTGCTTAGGATCATATAGTAAGATGATAATAAAATGGCTAGAACCCTGGTAATCTGACTCCCAGTCCCTGGATCTTTAAATCATTACAGTGTACTTAATCTGTACTTTGAAGTTAGGGTTCATTCTTATCTATTAATGTATTTTTCGTTCGTTTGTCCTAAGGCTTAAGTTAGATAATACAGGATTTCTGACAACCTCCAGCCATGCGTCTCTCTGCCTTGCTGGCCATGGCATCCAAAGTTAATCTGCCTCCCAACTACCGATATGGAATGAGCCGCCCGGGCTCCTTGGCAGACAAGAAGAAGAACCCTCCAGGGACCAGGCGGCGTCAGGTGGCCGTAGAACCTATCTCTGATGACGACTGGCATCTGTTCTGTGGGGACACGGTGAGAACCTCTAACAGGAGGTGGGATGGTAGGCTTGCTCCTGGGCAGTAGGCCCCTCCTCTTACTCCTGTCTTCCTACAGGTGCAAGTCCTAGAAGGAAAGGATTCTGGAAAGCAGGGCAAAGTGGTTCAAGTTATCCGGCAGAGAAATTGGGTTGTTGTAGAGGGGCTAAACACAGTAAGTGAATGAGATGAATACGATGGTCAAGAAATCTGCCCTGTGTGCCCTTCTCCATGAGGAGCTGTGAAGGCGCCCCTTCACATCCCTTGGTTTCTGATACCCTCCTCTCTTGGACAGCATTACCGCTACATTGGCAAGACTGAGGATTACCGAGGAACCATGATTCCTAGTGAAGCCCCTCTGCTTCACCGCCAGGTCACGCTTGTGGATCCTGTGGACAGGCAAGCAGTAGGACTCTGGTTAGCGTAGTCTACCCTCTGAGGCCACTTGGGTTTTGAACACAGCAAGGGGGACAACAAGCAAGAGGGTATGAAGGTCAGGTCAATGTGAGCAGGTAAGATGGTGGGCTGAGTACTCTGAAAATTGGGAAAGGCCGTCTCATGGGCATGACCTTCATGTAGGTAGCCCTCATATACACAGCAGCAAGCCAGGTGGTAGCCTTTGGTTTTACACCTATTGCCTCTACTGTTAGGGAGGAAAGTAGCAAAGGAACCGGCTCCAGCCTGACATCAATCCGTCTATCCCCTAGGAAACCAGCTGAGATAGAATGGAGGTTCACTGAGGCAGGAGAGCGAGTACGAGTCTCCACAAGATCAGGAAGAATTATCCCCAAACCTGAATTTCCCAGAACGGATGGCATCGTCCCCGAAACATGGACTGGTAAGGCTGGGTGATGGGCAGGAACATTGGGGAGAGGGATAAGAGGAAGAGACATTAAGGAGACTGAAACTGGCACCCCCTTTACTCTGGCCCAACAGATGGCCCCAAAGACACCTCAGTGGAAGATGCTCTAGAAAGAACCTATGTGCCCCGTCTAAAGACACTGGAGGAGGAGGTGATGGAGGCAATGGGGATCCAGGAGACCCGGAAACACAAGAAGGTCTATTGGTATTGAGTCTGGGACAGTGATTCTCCCCTACTTCTCTGTCTTAGCCTTGGAGGCTGGGGCCACCCTCCTCACACCCCAATAAAGAGCCATGAGTACTCCTATATCTTCTCGTAGACTGATACCCCCACCAACAGTATACCCCAGTTTTAGGGCTTGATGTGAGAGAACATCTCTTTTGATATGGTGGAATCTGGATGGAAATCAGTGAGCCTTAAGAAGGTCCTCTCCACAGTAGGGCCTGCGGATTCTGGGGTGAGGACCAACAGGAGAGAAGGGCTCCCTCCACGAACACTGTGGGGTAACAGAAGGTATCCCCTAAGCCTTGTCATGGGGGACTCAGATAGGATAGACCTCATTGTACAGCCTCTGTGGACCAGGTTTGCCCTTTTTTATGCTTAAATAAATGAAAGAGAAAGATTTCCATTACTTAATAAATTAAAAATAAAACCTTACATCATATTCTGTAACACATAGAGAAAGGGTATGAAACTGACAACCTGTAGGGCGCCAAGATCCCAGGGAGGACAGCGGTGCTGGTTCTGTGGGTGAGGAGGTAGACTGCCTCCCACTGTGACGCTGGGGACTGAGATTGGGTCTGAGATGTGCCTGTCCTCAGGCTCTGTTAGCTCTCTTCAGTCTCTAGGACAGAGAAGGCCTGACCCAGAGGTGTCTTGGTGGCTACCAGAACCAGGTTCCTTGGGGAGAGTTCAGGACTGAAGAGAGGCAGGAGTTCAGCATGAAAGCCTAGGAGAAAGATAGGGCTACTCAGGTGAGAAATCAACTAAACCCTCTCTCGGACACTTCTTATACAAACTCTCATTTCTAAGAAGGGAGGCTGAGGTCCCAGGATGAAGCAGACCCAATTCTCTTAAGGTGCTTGGATGCAAGGCCCAGACTTGGAAGTTCTGTTTAGGACACTCATTGTAGGTTCTAGTTTGCAGGTGCTAAAGATACAGCTCAGGGAAGAACTCCCAAAGGCTGATTCAGGAGAAATTCCCATGTTTAAACAAGGGTCCCATTTCTAACCCCCTGGTGATTGTGAAGCAGGTGGCACAGGGACTGCAGTGACTAACCTAGTGACAGCAGATGCAGGGACTGAGGATTAAAGGAGAAGCTACCACACGGAACCCTCTGACCCTGGGTCCCAGTGTGGGTCACCTACCCTGCTCCTGAAGGTAGAGCAGGCGGTCCAGCAGAATCAGTGTCTCCACCAGTGGGGCCAGCAGAAGGGCAAGGCTGAAGAAGGCCACCACACGGTGCTCCTGGGCCTGGTAACCCTGCAGGGCAGCCAGATTCAGGGGCAGCTGGGGGTCCAGCCCCACTCGTTGAAGCCCTCGCTGCACATATCTGCGGAACCACAGTGCATGGTGTGGTTTTAGTAAACACTTAACATCCCACTTAAACTCTGCCTACTGGATTCTAACTTGATTTGCTACATTAATACACATTTTTAAATGTTTCTCTTGTGAGAAAAGGATAGATAACTAAATCCAAAAGTTCACCTTCAGTCAGTATTATCCAATCACATAGCCATGTTCTTAGTGTACTATACTTTGAGAAACTTTTTTTTTTTTAATAAAAGAGGGCTAAAATCTTTTTAAAGAAATGTTGAGGGGCTTCCTAGTCAAAAAGAAAAATCATGTTACTGTACACTTTTTGATTTTCTGTAGGACACAGTAACTAGGGGCAGGAGACCTCTAGTGGGTGATGCCCTCCAAATACACCCACACACACCCCTCACGTCGCCAAACCTTACTCTTCAATCCTGAGCTCGTGGACCCTGGGGATTCCCTGCACGCCTGGCCGACAGAGATCAGGCTGGGCACACCGGATGACAGTCTCCAGTGCTGCCCGATAGCAGTGGGTTCGCAGTCCAGGACCTGCTTTCTGTAGCCGCTCAGCATATTCCTCCAGGGCATGGCAGGCACCCTCCCGAAGCCTGTAGGGCAGTTCATAGCCAGGCAACCCGGCCACCCAGTGGCTCAGAGGGTAGCCACCAGGGTCACTCAGCTTCATGTAGCAGCAGCCCACTGAGGCCAGGGCTGCCACATCAGGGCAACCACAGAAGTGCCTCAGCAAGGCTACACTCAGGTCACCACAGGCATGGAGGCCTGTCAGTAGCAAGCGGGCCCCACTCTGAGATGGGGGTTCCAGTGGAAGCAGAAGGTCTTCACACAGAGCTGTCGAGTCTACCCACCTAACCACGTGGTGTGGGGGATGGCGAGAGCCAGTATGGACCACCTATGGAGGCAGGAAAGGACACAAGCAATGGGAAAGCCATTCACTGACATCACTGGACAGTGGAAAGGGACCTGTCCTGTGTTCTTCCCAAAAGAGGGATGTGGGAGAGAGAACTAGGCTTTTGTCATCTGAGTCTTAGTTTTCTCATTTGAAGTAAGAGTCCAATACTTGCCTGAACACTTCATAAACTGGTATGAGCTGGATCTACTGCTTCTAAGGAAAGCATTTTGTAACCTAGAAAGTACCTTTTGAGACACAGGAAAGATTTAGAAAAACAGCAGCTTCAGGAAAGGGGTTACAGAATTAAGGACCGAGCCATCTCAAGCTGAGAAATGGGAAAGGAATTCAACCTAGGTGATCAATTCCAGTCAAGTGGGAGTTCAGATCCCTTGAGAGGCATACCTGTGGGTTCCTCTTTTTCTCTTTCTCCAGGGCCTGCAGGAGCTCCTGGTCCAGGCGCTGGGCTCTCTCCACTAGCCTCTGATCCCCTTCGATGCTCTTCACCAATAGCCCCAGCCCCAGAGACATGAAGCGGGAGAGATGACCCTGGAGTCATGGGGAGAAGGGGGAGACAGTTCATTGGCTTCTCCTGTCCTCGTCATCATGGCCTGCACACCTGGGCCCAAGTTCCTCACAGGGTTTCAATTTTGTCCTGCCTGATTTCTACCTTTCCTTAGCACCTGTCTGTCTGGCCCTATGATCTGAAATCCTGCCTTCCGATTTTTCTCTCTACAACTCAGAAGCACAGTGTATGCTAGTGTTCTAACTCACCTGGCCAGAGCCCACATCCACAACCTGGGTACAGCCTGTGAGTTCACTCAGCTTCTTCACCAACTGTAAGGAGAGGGAGCACAGGTTTTTTGGCCATTGTTCTTGCTTTCTGGACAAACACCCTAATGAGGGCAGAGAAGTAAAAGATGGTAGACGAAGATGGATAGAAGGGGAGCCAGAATGAAGGGTGAGAGGGTGGAAGCTGACACCAGGCCCTGCTGTGACTTTTCCATGAGTAAGTTGTGGAAATGTGAGAAAAGGAAAACACAGTGATTCAGACCCAGCCACCAGTCAACCTAGCAAAGAGCATGACCAAAAAGATATCAGCACTGATATAATCTATCTGCTGAAGCAGGGACTTTCCAGGGTCTTTGGCCCTGCAGTGAGGGAACTGTACTTCATGTACTTAAAGGGGTCCCAGACAACACCTGTACCCCTCATCATCTCACCTCTCCAAGCCTTCGGATTTCATGCTGCTTCTTGGGCCTGACATGTTTCCGGAATAGAGGCATCAGTCGGGAGCTCTGGCTGGGGTTCTCCAGGAACTCTGAGGGGGTCTGGAACCCAGGTGTCCGTGTAAAAGCCAAGGCATAGGCTGTGGACTTCAGGGCCAGCAGGGTAAGTGGCCACACCGATCTGTATCTGAGATAGCCCCACCAAGCCTCCAATGAAGTCCTCTTGCAACTTCAGTGCACCAGCATACAACCCAGGGAGCTAGAAAGCCCCTGCAAGACCTTGAACTAGCCAGCTGGAGGGTTCAGTGCCCAAGTCCTCCAAGATAGGGTCCCTGTTGCACATACCTGACAACCTCCCCTTCTCCAGGCATCCCTAGTAGCTGTGTGGCCAGCTGTGGTGGGCTCAGTCTATCCAGTGCCTCCTGCCATGAGCAAGGCAGTGTGCCCCACAGGTTGTCTGTGAAAAATTCCTGCAGGAGGAGAGAGGCAATCAAGTGACTGTTAACCATTCCTGTTCTCCCCGCCCCACCTGTAACTCCCTACCTCTTCTGCCCCTTCCCAGCACACATAGAGCCACTGGCTGCCAACCAAATAATGCTACTTCTCCAAATCACCGCTTGCTCTAGATGCAAAGCCCCCTCAACAGCTGTTTTCCTTAGTGGATGACCTCGCCATCCTTTGTGTTGAGACTGCATTCTGGATTCACCTTTCCTTTTAGTTTCCCTACTTTTTAAATTTTTTTATTATTATTGTTTTTGTGTGTACTGTCAAATCAGATATGACGTATGGGAGGATATTGCCCCTCTTTCTCCAGCAGAGCATCTGGTAGATTCAAACTGCGTACCTCTGGGATTGCAGTTCAATTTCTTGCCACTAGGCCACCAGAGCTCCCTAATAGTTTCCCCATTTACATGTCTATTTCCTCCACTCGATTTAACTTTGTTAAAGGCACAAGAATGATGTCCACAGTAACTAACACACAATAACAGGTGGAAAGTCAAAGAGAGAAAGACCCTCAAAAAGGTGGGCTGATACTATGGCTGTAACAATGGGCTCAAGTCTGTCATTGTGCTTCATCACCATTGTGATGATGGCACAAGATAGAACAGGGTTTAGATCTATTGTTCATAGGATCACTTATGAGTTGTAGTTGACTCGATGACACCTAACAATAATAACACCACACGGTGCATCACCATTTAGTAACCTATGTTATACATGCCAGGCACTTGTGTATGTTTTGTTCAGATCTGTTCAATACTCAAAATATTAATACTTACGTCAGCTAGAAAAAAAATCAGAGGTTCACCTCATTTTTAATCCCTTTATGAATAGACAGAAGATCAAAACTAGTCTCACAAATGTCCTTATGTGTCATTGTCATCCAGTTGACTCTGCTGCATAGTGACCCTATGAACGACAAATCAGAACTTGGCCCTATGCTGCACGATCTCCTCCACACTCAATCTCATTGTGACAGTCACTGTGTCAAGTCATCGTGTTGAGGGTCTTCCTATTTGGAGGAAAATTAAGTAGGATCCGTACCCCTCACAGTGATATATATATACATATATACACACACATATATATGTGTGTGTGTGTATATATATGTATGTACATATGTATATGTATGTATATATTATGTGTGTGTATATATATATATGAACTAAAAATGGATCAAATACCTAAATAAGTGTTAAACCTAAAACTATAAAGTTTATGGAAAAAAACTGGATAAACCTAGGGCTCTAAATAATGGCATAAATAGGTTAGCAAATAATTTAAAATACATATATAAGGGAGCTCTGGTGGCCTAGTGGCTAGAAGCTGCACTGCAATCCCAGAGGTGCATGGTTCAAATCCACCAGATGATCTGCTGGAGAAGGAGGGGCAAACTCCTTCTATACTTGTCAGATCTGATTTGATGGTACACACACAAAAAAAAATGTTATTGGCGGGGAGAGGGGTGCAACAATGAATGAATGGAATTCCAAAATCTCTGTAGATGTTCATTGAAATGAAAAACAAAAAAATGTTTTTTTAAAAAATGCATAAATAGCAGAAGAAAAACTAAATAACTGTAGTAAATACTTATGTTTATCAAAAGACTTCATCAAAACAATAAAAAGATATTAAAGACTTCTTGTTGTTGTTATGTGCCGTGTCAAGTCAGCTGTGACTTATAGTGACCCTCTGTACAACAGCCCTAAACCCTGTTCTATCCTGTGCCAATCTTATTGTCTCTGACACTACCCTCAATACCCCAGTCACTGAGTCAATCCATCTCATCGAGGGTCTTCTTCTCCTGCACTGTCCCTCCATCCTCCCAAGCATGACGTCCTTCTCCAAGGACTGGTCCCTCCTTAAAACATGTCCAAAGTATGTCAGATGATGCTTCAGAATCCTTGCCTCCAAGAAGCAGCCTGATTTCACCCTTTCCAGGATGAACCTATTTGTTCTCTTAGCAGTATATCAACACCACAGCTCAAAGGCATCAAATTTTAGTGATAACATATCTGACAGGTATAATCTCTTATTTATAGAAAACTGTCATACCTCAATAATAAAAAACCACATAATTCAGTTTAAAGGTAAGGAAAAGATATGAATAGACAATTCATCAAGAAAAGGACATTCAAGAGGTTAACAAATACCCAAAGAAATGCTTGAAATTATTAGCCATGAGGAGCAAATCAAAAGAGTAATAAGATACCACCTCACTGCAGCAATAATGGCACTGAATTCAAAACAAAACACAACAAAACAAACCTGTTATACACTGCTGATGGGAAGTCAAATTAAAAAAAAACCTATGAAAAAAGGCACAGATATTAATTTGTGAGTCGATACATATTAGGTGCCATCAAGTTGACTATGACCCATATGAACAATAGATCAGATCCTTGTTTTATCCTGAACCATCCGCACCATCTCTGAGGTACTAAAGCCCATTGCTACAGTCACTGTGTCAATATAGGTTGTTTTTGTTATGTACCACCAATTACGAATCAATTCATTGCTGACTCTCCAGTGGGTTTTCAGAGGCTGTAAATCACATGGGAGATTGTCCGTCTTTCTCCTGTGGAGCAGCTAGTGCATTCAAATTCAAACTGCATGCCTTTGGATTAGCTGCACAACTTTTTACCCGCTAGTCCACCAGAGCTACCTCAATATATATTGTTGTTGTGTGCTGTTGAGTCAGAATCAATCCATAACTGACCTTCCAATGGGTTTTCAGAGACAGTTAATCACATGAGACTGCCCAGTCTCCTGCGGAGCAACTGGTGGTAGTTAAGTGTATTAAACAGTGTGAGAGGTCCTAGTGTCAGGTGCTGTGAAGTTGAGTGTGACTCACAGCCACCCTAACAACAGATCTGAACCCTGTCCTGTCCTGTGCCATCCTCATAATCTCTGACACACTTGAGCCCATTGCTTCAGGCACTGAGTCAATCCACCTGGTCAAGAGTCCTTTTTTTTTATTATTAAATTTTATTAGTTTTAATGAACATTTACAGAGATTTTGGGTTCTCATTCATTCATTGTTGCACTGTTTTTTCTACCCTCCTCCCCAGTT